AAAAAAAAAAAAAAGAAAGTAAAGATGAATTCCATTTTAAACATGTTCTATTTGTAGACAGTGGTATATACCCATGGAAACCTCCACCAAGAAGTTGTACTCTTTAGAATAAGGGAGATTTAAGCTGGATGTACAGGTTTTGGAGCTGTGGCATGTAAAGTTGAGAAGTGAAATCTTATAGAATCAGGAACAAAAAAGACAGGGGTGAGGACTGAGTATTAAGTATCCTTATTTAAGGCAGGAGAAAAAGAACTAGTAAGAGTAACATGAAGGAAGACTGATAACGAAGAGCTACTTGAATGCAAATAAGAGTTATTGGTGTCAAATGTGGTCAAAAGAGGGGGGAAAAGAGAAGAAAAGACAACTGAATTAGGCTGTAGATGATTGCTGGTATTCTCAAGGCAGCACAATCAATCTATTTCTAGCAGTAAAGGGTGAAGAAAATAGAGAACACATGAATCCAGCTTATAGAATTTACACATTTTGAGAAGTATGACTGTGAGATGAAGGACTGTAATGTAACAAAGCTGGAGGGGCAGCAGAAGTATGTATCTTAACAAAGAATTAAGAGAGACCCCTGTCTATAAGGTCCAAATGCTATAGGATGGGTTAGAGCATATTCAAGAGATGTTTCCACTAGCCTACAATGCGCTGAGTCTAAATTAGGAATAATAAATACTAATCAGGTACCTACCCACTTTATGCCAGACACTGTAATGAGAAATCAACTATAACTAGATACCAAATAATGCCTAATTATCTTTCTCTTTTTCTTTCATTATAAAACTTTTGGTAAGGAGGAGGAACATTCTGAAATGGATCCCAGCTATTTCATCTTAATGTTGTTTTGTGGACACCTGGAAAACACCTTTTCCTCAAAGACAGAGGAAGGTACAACAAAGTTGCAGCCACAGCCTACCTCATTTAGATCATCAATGTCATATACCTTAGCTGATTCTCAAAACCCAACAGGGACACCTTTGGGTCAACCAACACAATTCAACAACATTTCTTCTGGGCAGCTAACATCATCTGGGAAAGTTGCACCTGGACAATCAATGCCAGCTGTCCATGCCACTTCTGGGAAACCATCCACACATACTTCTGCTGGACGACCACTTGCCTCTATCACCACCAAACCACCAATACCAATGATCAACACCTCTTCCCAACAAACTGCATTACCTGTGCTCACTTCTGCCAGACAAACACCACCATCTACCCCTACTTCTACCAGAAAACCACCAATATCTGTCTATACTTCCACACAACAACTATCATTATCTGTCCACACTCCTAGAAAAAGAGAACCAACATCAACTGTCAAAAATTCTCTTAACAAAACACCAGGATTCATCTTTGAAACTACCACTAGCAAAACAATCCCACATTCTAATTCAGTAGCTGCCATATTAATTGGTGTAATTCTGATCTCTATGTTGGCAGCTATAATCATGATTGCACTATGGAAATGCCTGAGAAAACCAGTTTTAAGTGATCAAAATTGGGCAGGTAGGTCTCCATTTGCTGATGGAGAAACCCCAGACATATGTATGGATAACATTAGAGAAAATGAAGTATCCACAAAACGTACATCAATTGTTTCACTTATGACCTGGAAACCAAGCAAAAGCACACTGTTAGCAGATGACTTAGAAATTCAGTTGTTTGAATCAAGTGAAAACATTGAGGATTCCAACAATTCCAAAACACAGGAAGTTAAAGATCAAGGACATGGTACATCAGAGGATAGTGCAGACAGATCAACAATTGGCACGGCTGTTTCTTCTGCAGAAGATGCAGATCTGCCTCCACCACCTCCCCTTCTTGATTTGGAAGGACAAGAGAGTAACCAATCTGAAAAACCCACAATGATAATCGAATTTTCTCTTCCAAATGATTCTACCAGTCTCCCTCCATCTCTGGATTGTCTCGATCAAGGCTGTGAAGATCATAAAACTGAGATCAAACAGTCATTTCCACCTCCTCTTGACTCACTTAACTTGCCCCCGCCACCAGCAGATCTTATGAAAAATCAAGAAGAATTCAACACTGAGATCCAGAGTGAGGAGTTCTCTATTCCTCCTGCCTCTGATCAAGATCTTAATGAATCCCTGCCTCCGCCACCTGCAGAACTGTTGTAAATTTATTACAAAGGGCTTTTAAGCTGATCTTTCTTTCTTTAATGACTCCATCTTTTGTTTTTCTTCATATAATGAGATAAATAAAATGGCAACAGGTAGCCAAATTTAATTTTTACTCAAGAACTGTCTGAAATCTGCTCAAAGCCCATGTGCATAAGTGGAACTTTTTTAAAAAACAGTTATTAAATAGTGATCTATTTACTAGTTATAGTACCTGTCTTTAAAATAAGAGTACATTTTACTTATGTGGATGGTATGTATGTCAATAATATAACCATTCTGAAACAAGCAATCTACATGTACTTTTTATTAATCAATAGATACTTTTTCCTAAAAAGCTGTATATAAACTTATTTTGAATAAACTTATTTTTCCATTTCAGAATTTGGGGTGGAGAGAAATAAGCGGTTAAATACGTATATACTCCAAGTTTTAAACTAAATCAAGTATTAAATATTCCAAGTCTTTAGGGGTGAGAGATTAAAAAGTATGTTTGAGGCTCGGCGCCTATAGCTCAACCGGCTAAGGTGCCAGCCACATACACCTAAGGTGGCGGGTTTGAATCCCCAGCCTGGACCCGCCAAACAACAATGACAGCTGCAACCAAAAAATAGCCGGGCGTTGTGGCAGGCGCCTGTGGTCCCAGCTACTTGGGAGGCGGAGGCAGGATACTCGCTTGAGCCCAGGAGTTGGAGGTTGCTGTGAGCTGTAATGCCACGGCACTCTACCCAGGGGGACAGCTTGAGGCTCTGTCTCAAAAAAAAAAAAAAGTATGTTTGAAACCAGAGAAATTTTGCTTTTGGGCTTATTGGAAATAGTCAAACATATTAAATCACCAAATTGAGGCATTAGGAACATTTATCCTGAATAAAAAAAAATGAGCATGCGCCATGAGTATACAATGTACACTTTTGAAAATAATATTGGGGAAGTATGAATTTTAAATCTAGCCTCTTAAGTTTCTGCTTTATAAGGACCCAAAGAAAACTGAATCTTACAAGGAAATTAAAGAATCTATGCCTTCATTCTAAAGTTGGATGATTTTCCAAGGAAAGATGGTTCTCAACTTTTCATTAAACTTATATTTTCTGAAACTAACTCTTTAAACTCATAAACCACTTTTCTTACGCAGAATTTCATCTTTACCCACTAGCTGACAATTCATAAATCTGAGTTATTACAGTTGGGATGGACCTGAGCTTTGTCAAATTTGAAGCAGAATGTGGCCAGTGGTCTACTCTTGCAGAGATGCCAGTCTGTGCCAGCAGAAGTATTCCTTTGCTCAACAAGCATATGCTCTTCCTCATCAGCCCCACCCTAACTTAAGGAAAAGTAGTCACTTAAAATGAAATGCAGCCTTACAGATAGCTTAGTCTTGCAGAACCTCTCAATGTTCTGGGATTTTTAGAACACAGTATTTATTCGTAACACTAGTGTTGAGAAACTAATAACATTCCATCTTTAATAAAAACTAGCAAGCTTCAAGAGATTAGAATTTTATACACAATATTTCTCTCCTTAAATCTTTCAAGCCATCTCTCATGGACCATTAAGGGTTTATATCTGCAGAAGCATTTCCTTGACCTTCCTTCTTTTCTTGAATAAGCATGATGTTTACTGTCATATTACATTGGTACTCTTCTGCCTTCCTTACTAAAAGGTTTCTTTCCTTGTTTTTTTAAACGTAGCACTTTTAAGGCTGATTTACCCAGAAGCAATTTGTAGGTTGAGAATACCCTTTATTCTTCTGAATTTTCAGTATTTTAGTTAGGATAAAGTATAATATTTTTATACTCAGTCAAGTCTTTGACTTGCCTTAAATCATCATAATTTTTCTCATTTTATGGTTAAGACCATTATCTAGTGGGCTCTCTTCACATTTTTGCTCCATTCACTTCCTTATTTTCTGGAAAACAGATAAGGAAATATACAGAAAAAATACCAACTTTCTTAGATAAGGAGCTGATAACCTCTTCTAGTTTCTTTAAATACTACAGGGAACTTTTCTCTTTCTGTTCATGGTACAACAGATGGACAGACTACTGGCAGCAGCTACTTTTTTTTTTTTTTGAGACAGAGCCTCAAGCTGTCCCCCTGGGTAGAGTACCGTGGCATTACAGCTCACAGCAACCTCCAACTCCTGGGCTCAAGCGAGTCTCCTGCCTCCGCCTCCCAAGTAGCTGGGACCACAGGCGCCCGCCACAACGCCCGGCTATTTTTTGGTTGCAGCCGTCATTGTTGTTTGGCGGGTCCGGGCTGGGGATTCGAACCTGCCACCTTAGGTGTACGTGGCTGGCGCCTTAGCCAGTTGAGCTATAGGTGCCGAGCCAGCAGCTACTTTTTTTATGTTATCTTTCTTTTCAAAGACAGTTTCTGCTGAGGGAAAAATAATTCATATTTCTGCATACAATTTTCCCCACTGAAGTCAGTAGAAGCTCAGCAGCTAAACAGTGGAAATCCTTGCTTAATCAGCAGGAAGGACTGCAAGCTAATTAAAGAAATACAGGGAAGAAGAAATGCTAGAACAAAGAAAAACCTAGAGAAAAGATTAAAGAACTGGGACTCAGAGCAGAAAGTTTATTTCATGAATACAGAAAAAGACCAAGGCACAGGGGAATAAAAGGCAGACTGAACTTCATACCATATCCCAGTGGTAGTAGTCAGAAACAATCTTTAAGACCACTTGGTCCAACTCCTCTTATTACTGCTGTGAACATAGAACTAGGGAAAACAAGTGACTTATTACTGAGAAGTGATACTACAATCTGAGTTTACGTCTTACCTCCTGATCCAGTCTTTTTTCACTAATACGGGACCAAAGAGCACATTTGAAACACACATTTCACACAAATATTCTATTTAGTGTTGGGAGTGGGGAAATAATGAATTAGATGAAGGTGGCCTACATTACCTAATTCTGATCAAAAAGTAAAACAGAAAAATATGATTAAGAAAACAGATCAATGGAACAGAATAGCAAGTCCAGAAATAAACTCAAATATCAAATCAGTGGGAACAAGTACTCAGACAACTGGATGGACATTACACTATATCAGAATAAATACCAAGTAGACCAGAGGTCTAAATATATATGAAATTCTACAAGTAATAGAAGAAATTATGGGTAAATTTCCTTATAATCTGGAAGTGAAAAAATCTTCCTAGCCAAGATTCAAACTCTAGAAGTGATAAAAAGGAAAAAGAGGTAAGAGGAGAGAGGACCAAAAACAAAAACAAAACAAAACAAAACAAAAAACCCCAAGAAGGAAAGAAAAAGAAAAATGAAATTAAATTATATGAATCTCTTAAAATGTCAAACATACACCCACACACACTTACACCCTACTCTAATAAAATCAAAAGACAAATGGTAAACTGGAAAAAAATAGATTGGAGCTTAAGACAAGCACCAGTATCTCTAAAATTTAAAAAAGCTCCTAAATGTATGGGATATGGGACTGAAACACAGAACACAATAAAAAATTTGCAAAACATAAAGATAGTCACAAAAAAAAAAATATAGTCACAGATAAAAAAACTTAAATGGTCCTTAAAAACATACATAAAAATATACAATATTCTTTGTAATTAGAGAGACACATTTGAAATTACACTGTGACGCTACCTTCCTCTCAGACTGACATAAATATAAAAGTTCAACAAGGTCTACAGTACGGCTACACAGAACCAGACATCCTGACCCACTATTGATGGGACTGCAAAATGGTATAGTTAATGATGAGGAATAGATGACATCTGGAAAAATTCCAAATGCATTTACCATTTTACCCAGAAATCCTACTTCTAGGAATCTTTTATAAAAATGCGGAATTATTTAGGCATAAGGGTATTCACTGCAGCATTATTTGTGAGAACAGAAGTCTGGAAACAAACCAGATGCCCACCAATTGGGAACTGGTTGAATAAACAATGATAGATTCCCAAATGGAGTACTGTGTATCACAAAATGAATGAGAGACACCTAGATAGTGATATGGAGTGGTCCTCAAGACATAGTAAGAAAAAAGGGAACAAGTTGTTCAACAGTATATATAGTATAAAACCTTTTATGTGAGAAGGGGGGATAAAAACAATACACAGAAATACATATTTCTGTATGTTTTCAAAAAGTAATACTATTAAGATACAACCAAAGCTAATAAAAATTGTCACCAATAGAAAAAAGGAGATAGGATGGGGAAAACAGATGCACAATTTCTCTGAAAACACCTTACTACATAATTCTGACTTAAGTGATCCTAAAAAACTGAAAACTAAAATGAAATAAACCTAACTTTATGTGAGGTTGGTGATACTAAAACACAGAGAAAATAATTATTTCAAATTGCATCAGAACACAGAATTCACTATAGATCCTTACTGAAATATATTCTAAGAACAAACAGAAATGCAAAGAAATCTTAAACCTTATATGTGACAGTGGGTAATCTAATTGTAGCAATCCTGGTATTATTTTGAAACTATTGTGAGATGATGCAAATAAGCAATTATGTTAATAATATTAGGAACCATTTGTAGGATATGTGGGGGATAGAAGAACAAATTAAATCTTCCTATGGAGGCTCGGCGCCTATGGCTCAATCGGCTGAGGCGCCAGCCACGTACACCTAGGGGGGCGGGTTCGAATCCCCAGCCCGGACCCGCCAAGACAACAATGACGGCTGCAACCAACAGATAGCCGGGCGTTGTGGCGGGCGCCTGTGGTCCCAGCTACTTGGGAGGCGGAGGCAGGAGACTCGCTTGAGCCCAGGAGTAGGAGGTTGCTGTGAGCTGTAATGCCACGGTACTCTACCCAGGGGGACAGCTTGAGGCTCTGTCTAAAAAAAAAAATCTTCCTATGGAAGTAAAGAGAAAAATCCAGAATAAGTAATATTCTAGAGAACATCTGACTGATTTATGGCAACAAGCCAGTGGGATGGGGGAAAAAAAGGTGGGACATGGGCAAAAAGACTGATCCACTGGGATTTAGACTTGATGATTTCTACCCTGTTAGTTCTTACATGCTTTTAAAATACACTATTGAGTACTCTTGGTTATATTTAGTGGGAAATTCAGTCTAAACAGCCAACCATATTAACAAAAACTGACAATATTTGACTCTCAAATAAGCAGAGAACAAAATATTATCTATCAATTTAAAAAATAATGGAAAACTGGACAATATTTGACTCTCAAATAAGCATAGCACAAAATATTTAAGAAATAATGGAAAACTGGAACTACTGAATAATATGGAATAGCCCTTCCCTGCAGGGATGGTTTGTTATACTTTCACAATGCTGGGGGTAATATATCCTAGGATACAAAAGAATAAGCAAATTAATTTACTGCTTAAAATAGAACATAAAATTTGCTCAAATAGCTAATATGAATAATATCTCAAGTAAGTTGTTAACACATACTTTTTAAGTCTCTAAACAATTATTCTTTGGGGGGGGTAATAGTAATACACTATTATTTTAATGTCATGAGAATTTCTAAAAGCATAAGCAAAGAACAAATTGTTTTAATTCAAATATATTGAAATGATCCCCTTTTTTCTTTCTCTCTCTCTTTTTTTTAAGAGACAGGGTCTTGCTGCATTGCCCAGGCTGGAGTACAATGGCACCAATCATAGCTCATTGCAGCCTCAAACTCCTAGGCTCAAGCAATCCTCCTAACTCAGCTTCCCAAATAGCTATGACTATATGCACATGAGCCATCACACCTGGCTTCCTGTTTTCTTTTTGAGAATTTTTTTTTTTTTTGGCTGGGGCTGGGTTTGAACCTGCCACCTCCGGCATATGGGGCCGGTGCCCTACCCTTTTTGAGCCATAGGTGCCGCCCTCTTTTTGAGAATTTTATAATAATCTTTGAATAATACAAAGTAACTTAGTTATGTCCCCAAATGTGAAATGAGAAACACTGCCACTGCTATCCTACTGGAATTTCCTATAATATGTGGCAGATTCTAAACTTGATATAGCCTAAACCTAGTTCATTTGAATACTATTTCTTTAAAACAAAAAGTACTGGTAAGTGTAACAAAAACGGATAATTCGACTTCTGCATTGATAAAATGTGAGACTTTCTAAAATTAAAAGGAGAGATTTAAGTGTTTGGTAAATTGACCCTCAGTCGTATTTCTTGCAATGTAACAGTGTGTATGTCCATTCCCTAGTTCCATAATATTGCTGAATGTAGTATTTTTAACACATTACTTTCAAGCACTATGATTAATGACTGGTTTCTGAAATCCATAGAAAGAAATCCTCAAAGTAAAGTGGCAATAAAGCACCTAATCAATAACAAATTTCTTTTTTTTGGTCGCCAATGAACATTTATTGAGTGTCCCCATGTGCACAGCTTTGAACTTGGCGATCACAGAATGCACTGGGGGAAGGGAGGGGGGAGCAAAGCAAGGGACCAGGTATGGGAGAGTACCCCTGGGAAAGGTAGTCCCTGCTGGAGCCGCCAATAACAAATTTCTAATGCTGCAGACTTGTAAAACGTAGATACTTTTCAAGGAACACTAGTTTTATACAAAAAGAGACTACTTTCTTTTCTAAGAAAAACAAACTTCAAATTTTAATACAATAAATTCTATTTAAGGTATAATCCAAATAATGGTAAGCATAATTTTGGTGAAAAACACAAGATTTAGTAACACAGCATAAAGGGATTTTCCTTACGTGATGTGCTAATATAACTGATTTTTAAATGGTGACAATTTGCTAATAAAAATGCCACAACTTTACTTTTTTTTTTTTAATTTAAAGATGAAATTGTCCAGGCTGGAGTGCAGTGGCTATTCACAAGCACTCCAGACTCAAACTCCTGGGCTCAAGAGATCTTCCTGCCTCAGCTTCCAAAGTAACTGGGACTACAGGCATGTACCACCATGCTTGGCTCTTGCTTTGTTAAGCTAAACTGAACATTTCTGAAAATCATATTTGAGTTTTAACAGATTTAAATAATCAGTCCACGGAAGAGTGGAATAGAAGGTATCATAAATCTGATTTCATTTTATAAAATTTGCAACTGAAGTTCTCTCTTACATTATTTCACGTAATTTTAAAACTACAAGCTGCGGCTGGGTGCAGTAGCTCACACCTGTAATACTAGCACTCTGGGAAGCCACAGTGGGTGGACTGCTTGAGTTCACAAGTTTGAGACCAACCTGAGCAAAACTGAGGCAAGAGGATCTCTTGAGCCCAAAAGTTGGAGGTTGCTGTGGGGCTATTACCCCAGAACACAGGCCCTCTACCCAGGGGGATACCTTGAGACTCTGTCTCAAAAAAAAAAAAAAAAAAGAACAACAAAAACAAAAACCAAAAGAACCCTACAAGATGCTTTCTCACAAAGAAGAAATGTGAAACACGGAAGAAATCACCTAAAGTTGTTATTTTTAAAATAAGAAATCAAATAAGTACCGAAGATGACTATGGAAAAACAATACTCACGTCCACTTAACCATTTAAAGTAAGTTTTGAGGAAAAAACCCTTTAACCCCCAATACATAAAATAAAACATGTTTATTTTATCATAAAAAAATGAATTAGAAGTGTAAGATGCTCATTTTAAAATGTAGCCTAAATTATGTGTAACCTTGGTCAAATGATCCTTTATATCAGAAAGATAAAGAGAAAATAATCATATTTAACTAAGCACTCCTTACCTCCTAAATGGGAAGATGAAACATTTAAGTGGTTAACAAATTTGGAAGGCTGACTAAACATAAAAATCACTATATTGGGGGAGGACATAAAAATCAAATAAATGATAGGACAATTGTACCATTTTAGAAAAGAACATTAAAGGCAGGAGTTAAAAATAGCTTAAGTAGAAAACTATCAATGAGAGAGATCAAATTCACTTTCAACATTTTTTAATACGTGAAAAGAATGAAGAGTAGAGTCATTAAAAAGAATCACAAATTATCATTGAGGCAAATGTTGAACCCAAGCTTAGACAAATACATAGAAAGAAGGGCAGCTCTAATATGCATAGGGTAATCTATAGCAAATCTGAGATATATAGGTATGCTTAATGTCGTAAGTTAAAAAAATTTGCTCATTTTGGTGCGTGTGCACCTCTTGCCATAAATTTGAGTCAGCACCAATGACAGCTCTGCAGTCCTCCTATGTGGGACTGATCAGGTGGTTGCAGAGCTTCAGCTCACAGCAACACAATGCAGCTGAGCAGGCAAGCACAGCCCTCAGCCAGAAACGGTTCCGACTCTCCAGAACAAGACGACCTTTAAGCTTTAAGTTTCCGAGAGAAAATGAGATGCTGATGTTGAAGACGACACTACGGTAAGCTATTATTTAAATCAGTAAAAGATCGACTTCAGAATTTGTTTTCCTTTTTCTTTTTTTAAAGAAAAAGCCAATGTTAGGATTGAGTATGTATTCAATAGCAAGTGCATGCACCAGAAATCTGCTGCAGTGTCAGTTAAGAGATTTCTTTTAAATATTTATTCACTTAGTAAGTAACACATTGTTTTCCTTGAGAATTGGCACTGAAATATACAGAAAAAAATAATTTTATAAACACGAGGTTTAAAGGTCTGGTGTTCCTCAGATTTTTCAAGTGTCTTAAAATGTTTTACAAGGATGTATTTATCCTAAAAAAGACAAAGATGAAATTTCAAAGAATTTCTTTAAATAAATTCTTACCCTACACAAACGCACATACACTATTACATTACTGCAGAGATTTAAAAAAAAAGACATGACAGCCATTTTTTCCTATTTGAGTAAGAAAGCATATTATCAAAAATAGTAATAGCTTAAGACTGTAATTCTTTATTTGCAGAGAATGACATTTTATCATATTAAGTCTCCAGGAAGATGCATAAGAAAGAATATGGTTAAAAAAAAAAAAAAGAAGAAAAAGAAAAGAAACGAGGGAAGGAAAGCAAATGCAGAAGAGAGTAGGGAGAGAGTCTCTCTCTACCACATAGCCCCAATTGAAGGATTAAGCAATTGGACTATAAATGAAGGGGAGCTTTGTTAGTTTAATCACTGGAACAATTATAAAAGGACTCAACAACAACGAGGTTTATTGAAAATTTTGCCTAATGCTAACTGACCCATGCAGATGCCTAAATTGTATTTGCATATTAAAAGAAGGGTATATCTGTTTGTTTCCAGGCTTTGATGGAATATCAGATATTGAAAATGTCTCCCTGCCTGTTCATCCTTCTATTTCTCACACCTGGTATTTTGTGCATTTGTCCTCTCCAATGTATATGCACAGAGAGGCACAGGAATGTGGACTGTTCAGGCAAAAACTTGACTACATTACCATCTGGACTGCAAGAGAATATTATACACTTAAACCTGTCTTATAACCACTTTACTGATCTGCATAACCAGTTAACCCAATATACCAATCTGAGGACCCTGGACATTTCAAACAACAGGCTGGAAAGCTTGCCTGCTCAGTTACCTCGGTCTCTCTGGAACATGTATGCTGCTAACAACAACATTAAACTTCTTGACAAATCTGATACTGCCTATCAGTGGAACCTTAAATATCTGGATGTTTCTAAGAATATGCTGGAAAAGGTTGTCCTCATTAAAAATACACTAAGAAGTCTCGAGGTTCTCAACCTCAGTAGTAACAAACTTTGGACAGTTCCAACCAACATGCCCTCCAAACTACATATTGTAGACCTGTCTAATAATTCCTTGACACAAATCCTTCCAGGAACATTAATAAACCTCACAAATCTCACACATCTTTACCTGCACAACAATAAGTTCACATTCATTCCAGATCAATCTTTTAATCAACTGTTTCAGTTGCAAGAAATAACCCTTTATAACAACAGGTGGTCATGTGACCACAAACAAAACATTACTTACTTATTGAAGTGGATGATGGAAACAAAAGCCCATGTGATAGGGACTCCCTGTTCTAACCAAATATCATCTGTAAAGGAACATACAATATATCCCACACCTTCTGGATTTACTTCAAGCGTATTCACTGTAAGTGGGATGCAGACAGTGGACCCCAATAATTCTCTGAGCATGGTAACTCAACCCAAAGTGACCAAAATACCCAAACAATATCGAACAAGGGAAACAACGTTTGGTGCCACTCTAAGCAAAGATACCACCTTTACTAGCACTGATAAGGCTTTTGTGCCCTATCCAGAAGATACATCCACAGAAACCATCAAAACACATGAAGCAGCAGCTGCAACTCTAACTATTCATCTCCAAGATGGAATGGTTACAAACACAAGCCTCACTAGCTCAACAAAATCATCCCCAACACCCATGACCCTAAGTATCACTAGTGGCATGCCAAATAATTTCTCTGAAATGCCTCAACAAAGCACAACCCTTAACTTACGGAGGGAAGAGACAACCACAAATGTAAAGACTCACTTACCTTCTGTGGCAAGTGCTTGGGAAGTAAACGCTCCATTTCTCTTAATGCTCAATGTTGTGGTCATGCTGGCTGCCTGAGGGTCTGTATTTTCTGAAACTAATGAAAGTACTCCTCCTTGATGTACAGCTGGGAAAATAGTCCCCTATCTAAACAGTGATTCAAGCTATATTAAGTATTCAAGAAAGCCAGTCTTACATTTCTGACTGATGTAAATGAAGTAACTTGTATTAAATAAAACAAGTGCACAATGTCTTGGTACTTGCTGCTATTTTACTGTCTTAATTAAGTACAACTAATGAGTTTTTTTAATGAAATATTTTCTTTTTAAGGCTTCAATTTATTGCACAAAATATAAAGCATCTAAACTTTAATATGTATTTTATGTATGTTTACACTGTCAAATGTGGGGAAAAATAAAAGGTCTATGCTCATAACTGTGTTATCTGGCTTTCTAGTCATACCAACTCAATCTAACAGAACTCAAAATGACTTAACCACTTTTGTTGTAGGGTACCTTGATAAAATCTTTAACGAGAATAAAATGTCAGTATTCAAGGATTTTTGACACTAATTCAAATCATGGCTGCCAACCCATGAATGGTTATGCCACATTATTATTTTATACACAAGCCGTAATTGTTTTAAATCTAAATGATGTCCTGCTTCTGAGGAACTCTTGGCTACTTTACAGATTATATAATGGACAAAAGCCCTTCAAAAAGTTAGAAAACATTAGGCTTAGCATTTTAATAAGGAAAGTTTAACAGCTTTGCTTTCTGCATTTAAGTATTAAAAAAAATAAAATGGAAAGTTTTAAAGTCACAAAGAAGTATTTTTAGTGTATATTTAATAAAAAATTTAAATGTTTACAAAAAATTTTTAAATATTTACAAAATTTAAATTCTACTACACGGAGAGAGAAACTATCTTTTGTATGTAAGAAACTAGAATCTGACTTACCTAAATTAAAAATAAGATTACTTTAAGGACAAAATCATGGGGTCTAACAAATTGGGTAGGAAAGGTCTAAGGGTAAAACGGATGAAATTCATTTGGTGCTATAACCAAGTGATGCACCCAGTAAAGCAGATGTAAGACTTGGGCTGGGCACGGGACAGATCTTGACACTTCAAATCAAACTGCATCAGGACTCTTAACTACAAATATAAAAGCCACCTTATGAATCAGTGACAAACATAATAGCCAAGAGGCAGCAAAAAAGACCCTGAAACAAGACTAGATGAAAACACCAAGATTGCATAATTGAGAAGGGTAAGACACAAATAAGGTATTTAATTTGTGAGAAATACAGAAAAGTCTAATTTCAACAATTCTTAGAGTTGGGGAAAAAGAACAGAAAGAAATTTGTATACTTCTTTCTAAGAAACTTTAAAAATTCAGATAGCCTTAAAAATTCAGATAGCCTTCATTTCTAGTTAGAGAGAGAGAAATAACATTCTAACATGTTCTTTTTTTTCTTTTAAAGGACAAGGGTAATGGAAAAATTACTATTATGCTTCAATAATACAATTATCGTCTAATGCTGTCTAGTGCAGTGGCTAATACTTTTCTCCTTGGAAAACCTGAATGGCTCACAATGTCAGGGAATCTCTCCATTAAGAAACAGGGTTATCTGAAAAAAAGTCTCCTAAATGACTTTAAAATGCATTACCTCTCTAAATAGGCAAGTTGTCCCTACTCCTGCCCAAATATTGATCTAATACCCTCACCGTATGCAATAGAGGCCAGGTGCTTAAATAATCCCCAGTCTACCACACATGTTTTTAAACAAGCATGTCTTGTTTAAAAAAACAGAATGCAGGTTTTTTAGTGGTAACTGTCTTTTACCATGAGGGTACCAAGAATTCAGTGCTGTCTCAGAATTCCTACAAGGAAAAGTGGCAAGAAAGTGGAATTATGGAATACAATATTAGAAGTCCCCACAGTCTTGGCATACCCATATTCCTAAATGCAGTAATGTTACTGTTGTTAGGTTTAATATTATATCTGCATGTTCAAGCCCAATGCTATGAGAAATTCACATATACAGAAATGCTCAAGCTCTATTCAGGGGTGTCCAACCTTTCCCATAAGCCACAGGCAGATTTTTTGAGGCCTGTTTCCTTATCTGTGTTGTCGGATACAGTGAAAAGTATGCATGGACCTTTTTTTCCCTTTGCTTGTTAGCTTTTGTTATGTGTTTGTGTACCCAAGACAACACTTATTCTTCCAATTTATAGCAGAGAAGAGAAAAGGTTGGACATCCCTACAAGTTACGAGCAAGAGAATGCAAGAATGTGCTTGATTAAGTGTCTCCTCTTCCACCCTCTAGAATTCAGGTTTAGATATTAGTGAAATAGGAACCCAGAAGAATGTCAGAGAAATATTTACTTACCACAGCAAATAAGATGCGTCCTATGGCTAACTTAAAACATCCCAATGTGTGCTATTCAATAATCTTCCGTAACAATGCTATGAAGCAATAGCAAATCCTTTAGCTGACACCAAAAATGTCAGACAAGAGTCAACCCAAAATCCTTAATAAAACGATTCCTTATCAGATATATTTTAAGAAATAGGTAAAAAATGATATGATACCATGCATTGCAAACTACCAGCCAACTCACACTGGTGAAAAGTAACTTAATATTTCCACTAAAGTCACAATCAAAATAAAGATGCCCAGTATTGCCAATCTTTTTAACACTTGGGAAATTATGAAAAATAATAAAAATCCAAAGGATTTGTTAGGAATGCCTTAAGAAATATAACTTTATATATGTATATATATACACACACACACACACAACAGAATAAATATGGAAACATTAACGGTTTCCCCACATACTGGCAACAAATAATTAGAAAACTATGGAAAAATATACAATGTCAAGAAGTAACACTCATATGAAATATGTAGGCTCAAATGAGGAAAAGGTGAAAAACATTAATGAGAACTATAAACTAAAAACTGATGGAGGCTAGGCATAGTGGCCCACACTTGTAATGTGAGGGGGAAGCAGGAGTAGCACCTGAGGCCAAGAGTTCGAGCCCATACTAGCAATGTAGCAAGACCAGGTCTCTGTAAAAAATTTTAAAAAACAGAAAAAATACTAAGATTCCCAGCAAATAAATGGGCAAAAGATACAAACATTATATGGCTGGGAAATGCAAAAAAGATATGATGTCATGGCAGCATCTATGGCTCAGTGAGTAGGGTGCTGGCCCTATATAACAAGGGTGGTGGGTTCAAACCTGGCCCTGGCCAAACTGCAAGAAAAAATAGCCGGGTGTTGTGGCAGACGCCTGTAGTCCCAGCTACTCGGGAGGCTGAATGAGGCAAGAGAATCAACTAAGCCCAAGAGCTGGAGGTTGCTGTGAGCTGTGATGCTACAGCACTCTACCAAGGGTGACAAAGTGAGACTCTGACTCTTAGAAAAAAAAAAAGATATAATATCATTTCTCACTATTAAAATCATAAGCAATTAAAAAAAAAATAACTAACAAAAATCAGGGCAGTGCCTTAGCTCAAGGAGTAGGGCACTGGCCCCATATACCAGAGATGGCAGGTCCAAACCCAGGCCCAGCAGAAAACTGGAAAAAAAGGAAAAAAAAAAAAGTAACAAAAATCTATGTTGGAAAAGGCATAGTGAAATGGCCACATTCACATACTTGTACAACTCTTTTGGACAACAATGGGCAATAAAATAAAAACTCTAACATATTTTAACCTTTAACCCAATAAATTCTAGGTAAATCAGTATTCTTTCTAGCAGAAACAAAAATGAAAACAATGCTAAATATCCACCATTAGGAAACTGATTAAGTGATGACCTACTCACCAGAATATTATGTTGCTGATAAAAATATTTATGAAGTTTTTTTTTAATTTTGAAATGTAGAGATAGCAAATAAATTATTAAAAAGATAAGCAAAAACTATAGGATAAAAACATACATCCCACAGAACTATACATAAAAACAATAACAAAAACCAATAACTATACATAAAAACAATATACCAAAATGGTAACACTATATACCAAGTATATTTTATTACCTGCCTTGTCCTTGACAAAATGGAAGAGATCTAAGCAACAAACCATTTAAATGTCTGTCCACAGCAAGTTAAGCAGGAAAGTAAGAAATGAGAATAAACAAGATGAATTATGATCAAGAATATGACAGAGTATCTATGAAGGTAAAGATTAGAGAGAGAACCACCACCAAAATTCCTATGAGCAAATATACACTGTATTAGCTTATACCTCTCCAAGGCCACTGGCAGCCAGGATTGTTCCCCCAGCAAATCTACCCAAATAAGCTCTTTTCTCCTTAAAGACAGCAACTAACAGACCCTTCAATAATTCTGAATATCTCCGTCTTATTATGTCACCCTGGATAGAGTGCTGTAGCATCACAGCTCACAGCAACCTCAAACTCTTGGGCTTAAGTGATTCTCTTGCCTCAGCCTCCCAAGTAGCTGGGACTACAGGCACCTGCCACAAAGCTCAGCTATTTTGTTGTTGTAGTTGTCATTGCTGTCTGGGGAGCCCAGGCCGGGTTTGAACCTGCCAGCTCCAGTGTATGTGGCTGGTTTCCTAACTGCTGAGCTACAGGCACTGAGCCTAAACTCTTTTTTTTTGCAGTTTTTGGCCTGGACCAGGTTTGAAACTGCCACCTCCAGTACATGGGGCCGGCACCCTACTCCTCGAGCCACAGGCACTGCCCTAAAACCTAAACTCTTAATATGGCTTTCTCTATGATCAGGTCTTTGCATCCCTTTGTAATATCATCTTAAAGTTTTCTATCTCCCTCACATTTCAGTTCTAACAAACAAAATGTCTTTTTGTTTCTCACCTGCCTTGCTCTCTTGCCATCAGGCCTTCAGACATACTGCACGTCCTCCTTGCTGCACTTCTCTCCCTCTTCTGGACCTGGCAAACCCTACTCATCCTTTTGATTTTGGAATGCTCCTAGAAATTGTTTTGGTTTTTAAACCATCTTTATCTGAATTTATAAATGTAAGAATGAATTAACACAGATCAAAGATGTGACTAGTGGGCTAACAATGACCAACTTAACGCAAGCCAAGTCGAACTTCCATGTTTATTCTAGAATCTAAGTTTCTTCCATTTATTCAAAGTTACAGCTTCGAAGTTCTGAGAAAAGGAAAGTGAAGAATGAGGAAGGATCTGGGGAGGCTACTACTTTTCATATAAAAAAACTAGTCTGGACAGTGTGGAGTGAG